ATCACTGAAGCTGGTGTTTCAAGATGACCACACACTATGAAAGCTGACCTTCACCGTGTCTAAACACACTGCCGAACCTCAGAACTACTGACATGATGACATTATCGGACGCAAGGAATTCTACGGAAACAGGGATAATCGCCTCACATCCTCAGCTCGGAGAGGTCAGGTTTTACAGGCGTACAGCAAGGCTGAGCACACCAAAATATTGTAAACCCGACCTTCGACAGCCAGGCTAACATAGCCACGACACTAGAGGTAGTCCAAATCGGCATATGCCACCCTAGCTTTGATCATATGATCAGAGATTTCATCCATCACACCTCCATTAACATTCACGCAAATACCTGGATATATGAACTTATCGAGAAGTAAAAGGGGTTCACCTGCAAGACTGAGGTACAGGTATAGGCTCCTACCAATCTCGCAACAATACTTTGCACCTACACGGCGCAAAGCATATACCATACTTATAGACAGAAATAGAGACCTAGTGGAAATATGTGTACACGAATAGTGCTTAATCATAACGAGAATGTACGCAAAAAAAATTTAGAATCACATACCTCTAACCAAGAACCATAAACTGTAGTTACATAGTAAAGAGCTTTATGACACTCTAGAGGAAGCAGAAGAGCTTGATGTAATATATCTTGTATTAAATTAATATTCTGTCGACATCCATATAGAACTTGATGCACCATAGAAACCTGGAAAAAAAATTATTCATAATTCAACAACGTATATACAACAATAAGAAAAAAACCCTCTGCACATTCTGATCGCATTTGTGTGATAATATATTCAAAAGTGGACTTTTATGATAAATTTCCAGAGATAGATATGTCAACGCACAAAGTACAACTACCACACTTCGCAACAATGCAGGTAAATATTTTAACATTATGTCACACTTAAGAACGATCGAAGGACACGCAGCAGCTCGCTCCCTCCTCCTTTATGGCTATGAGATATGACCATTGAAAGTGGAATATATGAAAAGACTAACTGCCTTCGTCCACAGATGTTTGCGTTCTATTCACTGTGTTAGGCTGCACATTAGGGTGAGTAATATCGAAGTTGAGTGTAGTGTTAGGTAAGGAAGGTAAGTCAATCGATCAGTTTGTGAAGGTGAACTGATGATGATGGCTGGGACACGTATTGCGCATGCCAAGCCATCATCTTCCTCAAAAGGCAATGTTAGCCCATATAGGATTAGGTTAAAAAAGAGAGTTAGGGGTGGTTAAATCAACACCTGACATCAATCCATGAAGTCTCTTTAACAGTTAGTTTGAGCCTGCCACTTAGGGAGGTGTAAACTACCTCTAGTTGGGATCCTCGAGATGCTAAGAACAAATGACTGAGGAGTATTGGTTCTATGACTCGAAACCATTCGCAACTGTTCATATGCATTCACTCTCTGTGACCCCAATGTCCACTAATCGGTTACGTTTTTCCACGCTACTATTCTTCCTCTCTCACATTTCTACTCATTATAATTCCATTGAATCACTTTTTTCTACCTCTTGTGTCCACCTTTGTGTGTTACATAGAATAGATTGTGGCAACTTGAACTGCTGCAGTGCTGTGATAAGTTCTATTTTGAAAATCAATCAGTCAACCAGTCATTATTTCTTACTTGATGACTTACGAAAAGTATACTTAAAATTCCCACATAACCATGCAGTACTGAAATACCTTTTCTCACAGAATTACATCATCTATATCCGAACAGGAAATCAATCCATGAAAATAAGAGACCCCTTAACATTTTATGCGGTAATTTCTAGTCGACCTGATATCGTCCTAAATGTCGCAGACAGACTAATCCACCTTCTTACATACCAGAATAATCAATGATCTAAACTGATCTGATTCCTTTACGTTAACGGGCACTTCGGTTACTTAGGCAACTACTTGTTAACCAAATCCTGAAAGAATTTGTGGAGCCAATCACAAGTTCATGATGCTTTTTGTTGTCTCAGGTTTAAAATGGAGCATACAGTAGACCAACGAAAGGTGCCTCTTCTTTAAATTAAAATGACTATAGCCGCACCCACTCATTTGTTTCGAGAAGCTGTCAAGGATACTTCCCTAAGAGATAATCCACTTAACCATCTCTTTCTGTCGAACAATCTCTATCGTAAACCAACATAATTGTCATCTACTTAGAATTGTTGCTACTTTCACAAAAATTATCAGTTTCGTCTCGCCAAAACAAAAATTTTATGCTTCCATTCTGAAGCTAAAAACAGCAAAGTTTTACAACACATATGGTTCATGCAGACATACATGTGCTGAAATTGATGCATAATTGCAATTTATGACGATACTATAAAATATGCACAACCACGTTCCTTCCGCCCCTACAAATGGGTGTGTTTTATATGACAATACATTTCATGCGCGCTCATCTTTGGTTCCATGGGAGAGAATGTCAAGTGATATAGAGAATCTTATTTTTGAGTTTGATGCTGACGACATGAACAAACATTACCAAAGAAATCCTGGATACAATCACTGATATAGATGTGCTACCGCCAATTGACTACGCAGACGCAGCCTACATTTTTTAACCTAATTTAGTCCTTCGACATAGATAATGAAGTTTTTAGTCAGTGTGCTTAGCACTACTCTTGAACCAACTTTAGAAGGCACAATGACCGATAGTTAAAAGAGGTAATGTCCACCATTCAACTACCATATAACCTTGATATGATTATGAGTGGCAATAATTTGTGCTCGAAACGTCATCAGTGAATATTACTGTACAACACTGTGTGATTTTAATAAAATAAAATTTTTTATCCATAATGGAGTTAGACTCTAGCACAGTGCCCAAGTTTTATACTTAAGTCAAAATGAAACCAAACAGATCATATGTGATGAGTATAGGATACTACCTGCAGCAGTACCAACTAATTAATGTATTCATGTCGAAATAAACACAATACATCCTTTATAAATAAGTATCTACTTACCACCTTGTCACTATAGTTAAAGACTGGTTCATTGAAAACAAATTTCTGTGGCGCTGAAGATGCTTGTAAAATGGAAGGAGGTACAGGAGCTTCTTTGCCTAAATGATAAGTGTTTGGTTTTGAAACTGTAACTGGTGCTGTTTGACTAAGTGAATCTTGGAAAGACGTGGAGATAACACTATCATCAGCATCTCTTTGGTTGATTGATGGTGCCGGCATAGGTGGAGAATTTGAAAGTCTCGATATGCCATTCACTTTCGAGTGTGATGCAGTTTCTGCTTCACCATGTGCTGACCCACCTAACAGCGAACGAAACTGTCGAGACAGTTGGAATTCATTTGGATCACCATGTGTGTCCCACGGGAAACCACCTAAATGAAAAGACGTCCCAGCACCACCACCACCACCACCGACTGCAGCTCCATGAGTGACGAATGTTGAAGTGAAACCTCCATCTGATGAACTAAGAGAAAAAAATTCCTTCAATTAGTTTTTATCATTTCTAGAAATATACATACACACACACCAACAAGAACTGGTAATTTGAAATCAATACAAAATGGTTATTATTACTACTCGGTAATGTCTAATCTTTACCAAAGTATTCGGAACAATGAAAGACACTAGTTCAAGCAGTACATTAAACACTATAAAAAGTAACCAAAATAAAACTGCATTTGGTCTCAGTTAACGAAAATTTAAAAAATCGAGAAAGAAACCCAAAACCCCGCTACTTTGCCCCTTTTGACAAGGAAAATATAGACTATTACACACTAGTTGCAAACATCTGCCAGCTTATTTGCTAGCACCTAATCAACACGAAGACAAAACAATGAGAATTCTTCACCAACTTACTTATAACGAGTTGTGTAATGGTACATTGACCGGAGCAATAACAGTGATATGTCTTGAATTATCTGTGTCCGTAGCTAACAACTGGAAGACAATAAGGGTTTAGCTGAATTGTCTATGGTTTTGTCAGTACAAACGCAGTTCTGCTGGGGGGGGGCTAAATTACTGGTGAGTAATATTGAAGTTAGCCAAAGAGTGTTAGGGAAGGAGGTCAAAGGATAGACTGTGAAGTTCCATCGACTGAGACGGCTAGGACACGTGTTACACATGCCAAGCCATTGCCCCCTTCGTCAAGAAATGTTAAATGACAGAATTAAGTTGAAAAAGAGTCAAATCAAAACTTGGTATCAGCCCACAGTCTTTTTCTGTCAGTGAGAGCCACTTTAAGAGGTGCCAAGTTCTTTTTCGAAAACTCAGTCAGCTGCTGGAGGTCATAATGCGGGTCGAACACTCCTACTTCTGAAAGTAGTTTCTCGGAAATAATGGGTAACCAACTATCCATATTTTGATGAATCTAAACGAATTTTCCCCTAACATGCATTTACTTCCATCTTTTTAAACTGTATTCAGTCGGTGTATTTACTAATGCGCGACAGCTAGGAAATCACAGCACCTTTGATGTCGTACTATTAATCATAGCAGCTGTTAAAACACTTGATAAATTGTCACCTCATTTTGAACAAATAACAAATCTCAGAGGACATTTGTGTAGAGAATAGTGAAGCTTATTTGATTTCCTGTACGTTCCAGCATACAATTTCCGCAGTGACTTCACAACCAGAATGCTATTATACAAATTAGTAAAACTAATATGTGTGCCGACTGAAAAACTATAGAATTCTAAGCAGCAGGAAGAAATGTAATGGCTAACCGATTATTATGGAACTTATCTTCGTAAGACGAAGTCAAATCACCGCTGAATTAATCCTAGGGTGAAATAGATATTTGTCTGAAACTAGTTACAACACTATCGAAATAGGGACAGGCATTACTACCTTGGTAGTTTAAGTTACCACATCTCATATCCGCATATTAAGCAGAAGGGAAAATAAATGTAAATCATATTATTCAAGGTAGTAGATTATAAGACTGACCGACTGCTTTAACATAGTAATTTGCACAGAAGTGGAACATTTCGATGTGCCACACTGCACGTTGCACACAAAGATAGAAAATAGACGACTTTCAAGAGAACTATAATGAGAAATGCACTGCAGAAAGAATAGTAACATGGGAAAACATGAAAATGATCTTGAGTCATACCAACGACAATCCCCAGCCATCGGTTCTTAGCATTCCGAGGAATATACAATAAGATGTAAGTGAAAAGAGTCAGGTAAATATATAAATGAGGTGCTATAACCAATAGGGTTATAAAATGTGAATGCAGGTAAGTCACAGGTCAATCCAGAGCCACATCACTTACCGCTTTTTAATGGCTAGTAAATCCTAGCCAAAATATTTACACTTCCTTACACCGTTCAGATTAATGGTTTGTGTTTATAGGGACTGATAACCTGCTTTGGTTTAACCACCCCACTCTGAAGATTACTTTTACGTTCTATTGATAGACCATTTACCTAAGACTGATCAACCGTAATCGTAGGTGTAGTGCAGACTGTACTGAATACATCAGTAGGCAAATGAACATGCGTCATACGTAAAAAGACATGGTGCAATACAAGCATGTTTTCAAAGTTGAAAATTCCTTCAAACAGTAAATATCTCCTAATTAAATTATTCAATTAATATGCTCTAGATGAAAAGTGAAAAACTACTTAAATAAGTAATTGTGCTAAGATTTAGCCTGAAAATTTTGAAGGATTGGAAAAGGGAACAAAACCTCACTCTTAGATACTTACTAAACAATAAGGTGGTATGTGTAGCCACTGAGTTACTTTTGTCTATATACTTCTTCATACCATCCACATAAATACCACCACCGAACAGAGAAACAATTCCCTTAAAAGTAATTCAGGCTACTCAAATACGTAACCTGGTAAACAAAATACTTCTAACTTTATCCTTTACAGAAGAAAACAAATATTCCATAAAAAAAACTTACGCTGGGTGGTTCGATGTGCGTGGACCAGTATATACAAAGGCTGCCAACCAGCAAGTGAACTCTAATTGATAATATGAAAGACGTGACGGGTGGATTGGATAATCTTGTAAGATATTAGAAGTTAATGGAACTGTGCTGTTTGTTACAGATGAAGTTGTAGGTGAGTATACTGAATATGACGGAGATAAACTGAATAAAAAAAATACAGAATATCAGGGCAGTCAACAAGTATTATAGAAATTAATAGTAAATAAAACACAAAACTTGAAAATATATAGATGAAGGATTCATGAGACATTTTTATTAACGATTATTTACTTATTGTCTGGTCTAGCTTAAAATCCATCGAACTTGTCTTTTTAAGGCCTTAATATGTCAACAGATTTGAATAAATCAGTTTCATTTATCTTTTTATGGCTTCCCAGTCATGAAACATTTAGGCACATAAGTGCTTGGAAACCCGATAGTTATGCTTCATTAAACATCAAGCTGTCCCTTAAAAGTAGTAAACAACAAAAAACCGGATTCGGTTGTTTGTCCGGTACCACTAATAAGACAAAAACCAAACATTCACGGTAAAATAAGAGATAGAAGTAGTTAATCCCGAAAATATTTGGAATACTTACCAAGGGAAGATCACAGGGAGATATGAATGTTTCAACTTCTCAAACAAAAACCATGACTGCATTAAGTGTTGCTCATATCGAAGCTGCAACCACTCAACTTTAATTGACTCTGTAACCAAATATCGTAGCAAAACCTGGAGAAGGACCATGGACTCATCGTCCACCTAAACCATTACAAATCAACCAGAAGATATTCAAATACTTACTGATTCATCTTCTCCTACGACAGCTGACGTCAAGAGTGCAACACGTTCTCGTGGGGCAACAACATGTGAAATCCTTGACTCTTGTGATATTTGTCCTCGTATATCTTTGGAAGGCCTTTTGCTCTGGGTATGGTTTTGTTTATGTTGTTCGCTGTTTTTCTCACGTTTCTGGTATTCAGTGACAAGTGAGCCAAATTCCGGGATAAGGTTATTGAAGATTTTATGGCAGACATGTGTTGCATTTAATCCAAGGATTTGATACCATATTAGAAACAACCTGATTCCTCTTTTACGAAGTTTCAGTGTATTTTTTTCGTATAGGAGATCTTCGATTACATCAACTAAGCAAATGATTTTTAAAGTAATATGCTTACTTATACAGTTATATTGCCATCTTTTGTGAATATTTTCCGGCAATAACAACAATATTTTCTAAAAATTAGATATACACAAATTAATACAACCTCAAAAACCGTTAGCACTAATTCCAGATCCTTAACATAATTCCCACTACCTGGAAATTTGGAACTATTAGTAAGTGGGTGCATACCTTTTAGTCTGACATCCCATTCAAGACCAAAGAAGCAGTCACTAAACACCTGAAATATTAGGGATGAATTCTCTATGAAAAAAGCTTGTAATTCATCGTTAGGTAGATTATCTGAAATTTCAATGTGTTAAGCCCCAACCACTTACCGATGAGGATTTTCAAATGCTTTATTTTATGAGTACTTTCTTTATCACTTAAAAACTTCTTTTTAGACTTAACTGTACTAATTTCACTAGGCTTGTGCCTTCGAAACATAATTCCAACCAAGCATACATTGCCTTTTAAATAATGCTCCTTTCCTTTACACGCTTAATTTGGTGCAGATAAAAAAATCCGTCAGGTTTCATATCATTTTTATCAGCTGGCATGAATCAAGTTTGTTTCTTTGCACTCACCTCTTCTTGATCAATCCCACTAATTGCCTAGGGTAATTGTGGTGAATGGGAGGTTGGATTTGGATGGAAGTTCTCCATGTGTTTTCAGAGCGTAGCGCTGACTCGACCTGAAGTTAGCCCTTTATCCCATCATGTGCAGTGAATTGGAATAATACTGGCTGTGAAATCGATTCGGAAAAGGAGATAAGGAAATATATGAAAATAAGTAGATAAATATTGTAGTGCGTCGGTGGCACAGTGGTTAGGACTCTCGCCGACCATGCACATGGTCCGGGGATCGATCCCCTGCCGACGCACACCCGATATCTATGGTCAGCCTGCAAAATTTGGGCTACCGATATCCGTGCTGAAAATTCCATACTTGTACTGAAAAGACGGTGTGGCATCAAGATGTAATCAAAATAAAAAAATAAAAATTAAGAGTAAGAAAAGGAAGACTGCATGAGTAGCAGTGAAGCAGGACCGTTATAAAGTCAAGCTTTGTCAAAGGTCGTTGCTGCATTACATTTAGAGAGAATTACACGTAGGTTCGGCAGGAATGATAGTCAGTGGGACACTATCATCCCGCCGCCGCTTAGATCTTCCCACTGATGGTGGGGCAGACACAACTACAGATGACTCAGTAGAAGCGAAGGGAGTTGGGGTGTAGCGGTAAATAATTCCCCAAAATTATTGACCACAGCAATCATCACTCAACATTAGATGCTGACCCTCACTGTTTAAGTGGACTTGTTTAGCTGAAGGCTTCCGGTCGAGCATCTCCGCCATTTGGTACTCCGTCGTGTCAGGTGCGTGCAAGATCACTAGCCAGCTAAGCATTCACTTCAACCCGCGATTTGGTCCCGAAATATATATCGTAATTTGGATGACTAAATCTGGTCTTTTGCTTTGTCGTTGGTACACGACAAACGAATATTATAGAAGCTGTTGGTAAAAGATCTTGCATCAGTATACAATTCGCGAACGGCGATACCGTCAACCTATAAACTGGTGAGCCCAACCGCGAACTTCATCTTCGAAAAAAATGCGGATAAACCCGGTGAGTTCGTTCCTTTTTGTGTTTGTTCTTGTACTACATTGTAATCGGCATACATTTCGTCATGAGTGATCCTAGCCCCAAGGTTATTCGTATTCGCTCAACCGCCAAAACAATTCAGCTCGTACCATATTGGCCAGATAATGCTGAAACATAGTTTCAGATAGCTGAGTCTGATTTTCGTGAGCATGGGATAACCGATCAACGTTCACAGTTCCTCGCAATTATTCACGCCATGCCGCGGGAATTCAGCAAGTACGTAACTGTGCAGATGTAGAGTCCAGAAGTAAGTAACTGATACGAGTTGCTCAAAGCACCCCTCCTCAAGAGAAACGTTCTCACGGATCGACAGCGTCTGGATGGATTATTTCGTGACATCGAGTTAGGGGATCAGTCGGCCGTGAGCACGCTGACCTACATAGGCCCCAGCTTATCAATCGTTAAGATGAAGGCGATCCTTCATCCAACTTTTAAACCGATTGTCGACAAATATCCGGAACTTAATTGCTCATCTCCCGTGCATAACCAGCAGTGTTATGCACCACATCATAACCTCAGGAAAACTCGTGACATCTAAAGCACGACGACTGGCTCCTGACAAACTGAGAATTGCTAGAAATGAATTCGATCATATGCTCACCCTTGGCATCATTCGGCCATCGAATAGCCCATGGGCATCCCCACTGCATATGGTACCGAAAAAGGATAGCGACGATTGGTGACCCACTGGTGATTACAGGCGAGTGAACACCAAAACAACCCCTGATTGCTATCCATTGCCTCACATACACTACTTGACGGCAACGTTATCTGGCGCATCTATATTCTCAAAAATCGACTTGGTTAAAGCGTGTAACGAAATCCCGATGGCACCAGAAGATATCTGGAAAATGGCTATTATTGCGCCTTTCAGACTTTTTGAATTTCTACATACGCCATTCAGTCTCCGGAATGCAGCACAAACATTCCAACGCTTCATTGACGAAATATTTCGTGGTCTTGACTTTGTATATGTATACTTAGACGACTGCCTCATTGCCAGTCCAGATAAGGAAACTCACCTTAGACACTTGGACTTGGCATTCGAAAGGTTACGCCGACATGATGTTACCAATAATATTCAAAAGTATCAGATAAGCGTTGGCTCACTGGGATTTCTTGGCCACACTACTGGCTGCAAGGGCATTCGCCCACTGGCTAGTAAAGCTGAGGCGATACTGAACTTTCCAGAGCCACAGACAGTGAAAAGTCTGCGCACTTTCAACTACTTGGTAAGTCATTACCGACGGTTTATTCCGAACTGTGCTTCCCTGATTCAGACCTTCTTCGAGGAAATAACAAGTCCATCGAACTCTACGCGTATGCTCAAAATATTTTCACTCAGGTTAAAAAATCCATCATGGATGTTAGACTTCTAATGTATCAGGATCCAACAGCACCGTTAAGTATCTCAGTCGATACATCAGACACTGCAACCGGCACATTTCTGCAGCAACCAGTCAACAGAGAATGGCAACCACTCGCTTTTTTTCGCAACGCCTTCAGTTAGCAGAAATAAAGTACAGGACATTCGTCAGAGAACTTCTGGCTATGTACTGTGCCATACGTCATTTTTGACACTCAGTGGAGGGTCGTGAATCTATAATTTTTCACTGCCCACAAACCTCTGACTTACTGTCTAAACTCAACTTCAGATAAGTATTCAACTAGAGAATCAGGACAACTGGACTACGTTTCATAGTGTACTTTGGATATTCGCCATATATCTGGAGTGAACAACACTGTGGCATATGTCTTGTCGCACATTTGTTCCCTCACCCAAAATGACGTCATATACCTTGTGAAACTGGCCGTCTTCATAAGGAGATACTAAACTTCAACATGAGTGATCGAAAACATTAGTTATGGGAAGAGATACCATTCTATGTAACATTTCCACGAGTACTCCTCGCCCCATCGTGCCTAAAAGTTATCAACGTAACGTTTCCAATGTGTTGCATGGCTTATCCCAGCCAGGTATTCAAACTACCGTCAGGCTGGTAACTAGTCGGTTTTGTTGATGTGGTATTAATAAGGACGTGAGGGAATGGGCACACACGTGCTTAGCTTGCCAAAAGTGCTAGGTGGTGAGGCACACCAAAAGCCCCCTTTGTACCTTTCTTATCCCAGATGCCCGTTTCGAACACGTCCGTATAGATTTAGTTGCCCCCTTCCAGAATCTCATGGATATGCCTTTTTGTTAACCTGCACCGATCTTTTCACACGATGGCCCGAAGCGGTACCCCTCAAGGATATATCTGCGTCTTTGTAGACAGATGGATCGCAAACTTTGGATGCCCATCTTCCATAACAACTGATCGCGGGTGGCAATTCGAAAGCGGTTTATTCTTCGCTTTGAATAAAATCCTTGGTTGCATGCGTTTTCGAACAACAGCCTACCATCCTCAAACAAGCGGTATGGTAGAACGTCTACACAGACAGTTCAAAGCTGGTTTATCAGCTGCAAACAACACCCATTAGACTGAATATCTTCCATTAGTCCTCCTAGGGATACGAAACGCCTTAAAAACCTGTGCTGGTTGTACTACCGCTGAGCTAGTATATGGCACGACACTACGACTGCCATGTGAGTTTGTTTCTCCCTCGAGCTACTCACCAGCGGTAGCTCGTCAGCAGGCTTACAAACGCAATGCGTTCAGTTAAACCTGCTCCCCTCCGACCACAGTCCATTGATGTCTTCGTTCACCCCTGTTTATAAACTTCTTCACACGTATTTGTTCGTCGTGACTCTGTGCGTCGCCCTCTAGAACCCCCGTATGACGGACCATATAAAGTAATTAAATGTACAGATAAATTCTTTGTCTCAGACAAAAAAGGCCACGAAGACACCGTCAGCATTGACCGTCTGAAACCGGCTTACTTGGAAGGTAATCCTAACTGGCTAACTGAAACTGATTACAGCCAAACCAACCAACTTAGTACTTACTGCTTGGTTATGGGAGTTGGGCATAATTTGATATCACTGAGTCGATATCTCGCGCATACCTCTTAGACTATCCACTTCCCGATAATTTCTGCCAATTAATGGGTTTCATCAACTGTGTTTGACTTTGCTTTTCCAGTTTCATTCCTACATTCTATCGACAGGTTTCTCTGGACTTCCTCCGTCACAACATCATTCTACATCTGATACATTAATACTGATGGCAGTAAATTTTGGATACTCAGATATCTTAGATGGTATACTCCAAAATTTTTGCGATACTATGGGCAGTGGGTTTAGTATTGCATCATTATAACAATAAGGGTGACGTGACAGACTCAAACTCGTGCAGTGGTAACAGTATGACGACTAAAAGTGGCTCCATATAATGACCGAATTCCTGTTAAATAGCTCAAACTTGGCGCGACGTCATCCTGCACATATCTCACCTTTGGGAAGTTCCTGTTTGTGATGACGTCAGACCAGTCGTTCTCAGTAAGTGCTGGAGACCTCTTGGTATGCATCCTGGTAAGTGGTTTCAGCCCTCTTTTATCGGTTGACAGTCACCGAAGAAAGGGAAGGTGCTCCTTTCAAACAGTTAACTTGCACTGAATCCTAGATTCGTAACAATCTAGGTGTCAGGCAGAAAAAACGAGCTCGTTGATTTCACTTACAAAAGCTGTCAGTGATAGTGAACACTGAGTGGACGTCTTTTTGAATCATTTCCTTGTTTGTAAGAGGTAATAACTGCTGTCGTAGCTCAGGCGTTAGCTAGTTGACAGAAGACTGGGGCACTATGATCAAAAGTATTATTTTATATCTTGCCAACCTTATTAGTAGA